AATATTTCACTTCTTTTTTTGCCGTTAAAATCTGTAAATTCAGCTCGACAATTTTCACCTTACAAAAATAAAAAAAACAAATTGAATGGTCTCGATATAACGGGCTTGCTTAAAAACGGCTATAGTGTACCTCAGATTTGCAGATGAGACAAAAGGTCGAGGGGTAATAACTGAACACATTAGTTAACACCATTTGATAGTATATATGTATCGCCGTCCATGTAGTTAAATGTTATTAGCACGACGCTGTTTTTTATATGCCGACTATTCATTTAACTGTTGAAATAATATGGATCATGTGAAGGTATCACCAACATACTTACCATTTGGGCAGTTAGGGCAACATTGTCCTGGTATTTTAACAGAATCAACACATGGGACTATAAAACAGTCAGCTATAATTTCTTGCGCTTCTAAACTATTTTCATCACAGTAACAACTATGGCAGTCTGATATGGAATGAGTTTTTCCAGGTGGTATTTGTGTACCATCAGAACATGTACACATAGCTGGTGTTGTAGTAGGAGGTGGTGTTGTTGTAATTTGTGCACAGATTGCTCGTGGTTCTCCGTAATAATGCTGATTCTCACATTGGCATTGAACTGCACCAAAATCAACTACCCCGGCACTGACAGCAATAATTTCACTTCTTTCCTTGCCGTTAAAATCGATGAAATCAGCTCGACAATTCTCCCCTTGAAAGTACGAAAAGATTGAACTGGTTTATTGATATATGCCAACAAAAAGTTTAGTTTCAAACATTAATTTTGATCACTGTAAAATAAAATTATCAGATAGTTCGTCTAGCTTGCACTGCTTTTGTTAATATTAATATGAATTCTCAGATCCTATTTCGGTTTTATCTAATCCACTTTCTAGACAAAAGTATAAAAAAAAACAGTATAGGTGTAATCATTCACAATAATTAAATCTTGTAGATCGGGTAATACAAATACTAAAATCTTTTACAAAATGGAATTGTATTAGGTATGAAGTCAAATAACATTTGTTTTCTTTACTCTTTGAAGATTATTTGGGGGACAAACCCTCCGTGATATTCATAAAGTTTAGCGTATCTAACTGTTGCTTTTTATTGAAATTGGGTTTGACAATTTTTCTATGGGGATGTCACCAAAAGGATATGATCGTTTTTTCCTGAAGTGATCAACAATTTCATCAAACATAGTTAAAACAATT